CTGGTTGATCCACCCTGAGACGGTGCTATTTAAGAGACTGAGCTGAATACAGCTCCTCAGACTGAGGAAGTCTCTCGGATGAGAGACGAAACGTTTCTACATTTTTTTTGTTGATTTGCTTTGTTTTGTTTTTTTGAATGTCCAGAGGACCAGATTTAACTTTTTTAGATTTTTCTACCTGGATTATTGAGCATGCATCAGGATATTATACGTCATGTTTCAAAACAACGGCGCTAATTTGTCAAAATAACAGCAATCAAAATGTCAAAAAGACAGTCCAATTTGCTTTAATAAAAGATGGATAGATGGATGGATGGATGGATTGATTGATTGTCCTTAGTTGAACAACAGAAAATCGAAGCCTTCAGGTGCTTCAAACGATGCCACGAGACTGGAGCAGGAGTGGAGAAGAGTTCAGCTCAGAACCATGAAGTGAGGAGAGGGAGGAGGGGGTTTAGGACACCTGGCAGAATTACAGCTGCTCTATTCACACACAACCTGCTGTTCCTCTCCAAAATAGTAATTTTATAAAGTGTTTACAAATGTAGGTAAATGTTGATATATAACAACCCGTTAAAATACACCAAAGTGCAGGAAATGGCATCTCTGTTATTCAAAATTTTCTGTGAGAGGACACACGGACCCAACCCCGGCCTGCCCGCTGTTCCAGCATCAATCAGTTTACAAATTAAGCCCTGGTTCAATCAAGCTGCGTCATTCTTCAACAGATCTGCACAATATGGAGATCTGTTTGTGTATTTACACAACCAGATGAGATGTGTTTATAATGATGGAATTTTAGGAAACCTGAAAGGGAAATGTACTAAATATTTCTGTATTTGACCTCATAATTATGAATGTAGATATGTAGCAAAACCTGTGAACTTGTAACTTTGATTTGTACGCATGCAGAAAAATGTGTACTTGTATTTACATTTTTAACCTGCAAATAAGATTTACATGAATATTTTTTATGCAAAGTAACATAAAAAAATGGTTACAAATGTGTAAATTTATATTTACATGAATATAAGTAGAATTGCAAGCTCAAAATTCATCATTTGCTTGTGTGTATTTTCTTAACTTGTGTCTATATTTTCAGTACAGTAGTCCCTCATCTATCACAGGTGTTAGGTCCTGCTTGCTGCTCACTTACCCTGCTAATTTGCCGCATTTACTTACCCCATTAAGCCCAACTAATGGTCTCTTTTCTGTCTTGCTTTCTTTCTAGCCTGCTTAGCTTGCTAACTGGTCAAATTCACGCTTCCCTATTTAGCCTTGCTAATGAGGGAGCGCGTAAGAACAGCATAAGCAGACTAAAATGTCTAAGCAGATATCTTTTTGCCTGTTTAGCTTGTTAACTGACAAACTATTATCTTTCTCTACAACTAATTTGGTGCTGGAGAAGAGCAAGAAGAAACTCTGAGCAAAGGGCTAGCAGGGCGGGAAGTTCTGGTTCATGTCCATGTCCGAGCGCTTGCGGATATTTTTTCTCTCTGAGTCAGACACCCATTGTCCAGTTTGTCTTGGCATGTTGCATGCTAAGGCTGCACTTGCTAACCTGTAGCCAACTCTGCAAGTTGACCTTGGAAAGACGAGTAGGGTTCCTGACAAAGACACTAGGAAATTCAACCGCAACGAGGGACCCGCTACTGTTCGAGACTCTTGAACCAACCGCAGAGTTAGTCAGATGAGATCGCGGACAGCGCCGCAGCATTATCCTGGGGTGAGCAGATGGATGAGCTCCTTCCCACAGATGACGTGGATGAGAACCTGGCCAAGTTCAACATGCAGACTATGTTGCTGGCGGATGACAAGATCTTTTTGATGGCCTCAGGTGGCCTCTCTGAGGATGAGGTCAGTGCCAACAAGGAAGGGGAGGAGTTGTCACAGGAGATGGTGGCTACACCTGTCAAAGTGGATGGATTCATTCCAGTTCTGTTCAAGCTGTGCCGCAGAGCAGCCGAGTGTCTCAATGTGCCAGGGTCCACTCCTCCACCTCGACAGTTTCAGTCGAGATTCACGGGTAATTATTTTCTCCCGAAACAACAGACCTTGGTGATTTATAAATTAACTTTGTTTCCAGATTTTTTTTTTTATCACAGCTGACACTGCCCTGGGTGTCTCTTAAGGCCCCATTGTCTCTGCCTTTCTCCCAACTTTTGGATTTGGAAAACATAGAACCAGTGGGTCTGTCACACATCCCACCCATGAATGAAACATTTGACATCCAAGCTGAACGCGTCAGTGAAGTCTGCAGGACAGCTGATTTTATCATTTGGTTGTCTGGCACCACAGCTATTGCCCTCAGTAAAGCATGGCGGAAGCGGTTGTTGCACAGCAACACCTGTGGCTCACTCTCACTGAGCTGCCAGAGAGCTAGCGCTCAGTTTTTCTCCAGCAAGCTGTCAAACCTCCAGGATTGTTTGGACAAGCTTTGGAGAAAATTCAGAACACTGTGATCAGAGAAGAAAGCAGGAGGAGGCCCTGTGTCTGGGGATGCTGAGATGCCATTACTCCCAGTTCAGAGACCCCAGCAGTCACAAGAGCGTGCCTCCATGTCAACATTCTCTCCCTCGGCACCCTGCACCAAAGTGGCCTCCACCAGAGACTGAATCATAGCAGTCACCATTCCCTACAGGTCAGCAAGGGCGTCTGCAACCCAGATGGCCACATGGTCCAAGCACCGCTTTGTCCCGAGACAGGCGGGAGCATCATTATCAGCTGTGAGGGAGAACCCGGCATAGAAACAATTTCCAAGTTTTCATGAGAGTTAGTTTGCTGTGGCGACCCCTGAAGAAGGGAGCAGCCAAAAGAAAAATAAATAAATAATATTTTCATTTATTTCCACCTGTGGGAGGGGCCAAAGGGGTCGGGTGCAGTGTGGGATGGGTGGTGGCCGAGGGTGGGAACCTTGGTGGTCTGACCCTCGACTACAGAAACTGGCTCTTGGGACGTGGAATGTCATCTCTTTAGTGGGGAAGGAGCCTGAGCTGGTGTGTGAGGTTGAAAGATTCTGGCTAGAAATAGTCAGACTCACCTCGATGCATGGCTCTGTATCAGGAACCAGTTTCCTTGAGGGGGTTGGCATTCTTCCACTCTGGAGTTGCCCCTGGTGAGAGGTGCCGAGCAGGAGTGGGCATACTTGTTGCCCCCCGTCTTGGTGCCTGTACATTGGGGTTCACCCTGGTGAACAAGATGGTAGACTCCCTTTGCCTATGTGTTGGGGAACAGATTCTGACTATTGTTTATGCTTATGCACCAAACAGCAGTTCAGATTGTCCACCCTTTTTGGAATCCTTGGAGAGGGTTGTAGTATGTTAAGGCTAAGTTAGCTTCAGTTAGCTTAAGAGCTCCACTACAGTCAATTTTTAATAACGGGTTCTCACTTTTTTGAG